TTACCCTTTTGATTATGAATTATATTAGGGATTTGCGTATTATGGGTGATACAAAGTATGCATAACACATGTTTGTTTTTCCCACAGATGTTATGGCAATTGAGTTCCAGAAGCGAGGCCTTCCGCATGCTCATATATTGGTTTTCTTAGCTTCGGAATATAAATTAAGCGGTCCGAAAGAAATTGATTCTGTTATATCTGCAGAAATACCCAATCGTGATATTGATCCAGAAGGTTATCGAGCTGTCACAACATATATGTTGCATGGTCCATGTGGTTCTTTGGGTCGTAATGCGCCTTGCACTGAAGGTGGTATTTGTACGAAACACTTTCCAAAGCAGTTTTGTGAGCAGACTACTATCGACGATACTGGTTTTGCTAAATATTGTCGTCGTGATAGTGGAATATATGCGGAAGTACATGGTGTGCCGCTAGATAATCGCTTTGTCGTCACATACAATAGATATTTGTTGTTGCGATTTGACGCACATATAAACGTGGAATTCTGTAATAAGTCCAGTTATGTGACATATCCTTTCCCGAATCTGCCTTTTATATGTGTTATTTAGTTATGGTATTGGAGTTATATATTATAACAGATTTTCCCCTTAGTTATAACCTACCATTTAATATGTATGTGCCAAAATGCAACTTTCGAAATTGATGGAGCTGTTGCCAATTAACTCCATATATGTCATTATTTCGGACAACATATATAATCATAGTATTACACGTGGGTCCAAAAGCATATTGTGCCCCATTTCCAATTTGGCCTATCATTTCCCCTTCCCATACGGTGTAGAGTTTTTTTTTAGTTGAAATTGTCCAAGTGGCTTCCAGTTTCTTATGCTAATGGTGGTTTTGTTTGTATGCTAAAAGAATTTTGTAATTCATGACATGTGTACTTAATTTAAAACCACTCCCCTCTACCGCCCTCTATTTAGCCCAGACAAGCCCGAATTGGGAGGAAACAAGTCATGCCATAATGGAAGCCATGCCATTCTAATGTTATGTTTGCCCAGAGTCATTTGTATAGCAGAAGCCATACTTGATCATTTCAAACATATTTTGGGTTCCAGCCATATCCAGCCTGATGTCCTGCATGGTCATGATATTACTCCGTTCTTTTAATTCCAATTTGTATTTAGATGCTAATTCGTGTTTTTTTATTGCAGAGCAATAAAATATTTGTTCAAATATATTAACAAACCACAGGATCGAGCAAAAGCTTCACTGGTTGGCGACCAAACTGATATTGACTCTGGGTCTGCTGGACCAAGTTCCAGGTTGATGAACCGAATTGATGAGATTAAAGCATACTTGGATTGTCGTTACATAACATCTGGGGAAGCTTGCTGGAGATTATTTAAATTTGATGTGTACTCACAGTATCCATCAGTACTGCGGATGTCCTATCATTTACCCGGGCAGAATGTTGTGGTGTCAAGAGCTACCACAAATCCTCAGCATGTGTTGAATTCTAAACGTGCACAAACGTCAATGTTGTTGGGGTGGATGAAAATGAATGAGTTATCTATAGAGGCCAGGCAATATACTTTTGTTGAGTTCCCGCAACATTATGTATGGGATGACACCAAGAGGGAATGGCACAAGAGAAAATCCAAATTTTCTATTGGTCGGTTATACTATTGTCATCCTTCACCAACAAATGATCGGTTCTATTTGCGCATGTTACTGCATATTGTTCGTGGCTGTTGTAATTTTGAGGATATCAGGACAGTGGACGGAGTTGTCCATAAATCTTTCAAGGAAGCATGCTATGCGCATGGACTGTTAGCTGAGGATAATGAATGGAATGATTGTTTGGCTGAAGCATCTGTCTGGGCTACTGGGAAAAAACTCCGCTCTTTATTTGTGACCATAATTAACCTTTGCCAAGTTTCAGACATTGGTAAATTATGGGAGCGAAATTGGGCATTGTTAGCTGATGATATTTTGTATACCCGCCGGAAGGAACTTAACATGCCTACTTTACAGATGAGTGAGTCCCAATTGAAGGAATATTGCCTCATTGAGATAGATAAATTGCTTTCAAGGAATTGCAAATCTATTTCTGATTTTCCAGGATTACCAATCCTTAATGCAGATAACTTATCATCTTCATCAAATAGATTACTCGCTGCAGAGCTTAATTACAATACTACAAGTCTTTCTCATCAGCTTGAAGCCATTGTTTCGAAGCTTAATGTCCAGCAGAAAATAGCTTATGAAGAAATATTGGATTCAGTATATGGTGATAAGGGAAAATCATTCTTCATTGATGGTTGTGGTGGGACAGGAAAGACCTTTTTATGGAAGGTAATTTGTATGAAATTACGTTCTGAGATGAAGATTGTTCTGTGTGTTGCTTCTTCTGGTATTGCAGCACTGTTAATGGATGGGGGAAGGACAGCGCATTCTAGATTCCAAATTCCAGTTGATATTGATGGAAGATCAACATGTAATATTGCACAAGAAAGTGAGTTAGCAGAGTTGATCCAACGTGCGTCATTGATTATTTGGGATGAAGTTGTTATGTCTCACAAGCATGTTGTGGAAGCTGTTGATAGATCATTGAGGGATATTTTGCGGATTAGATATGAGAACAGTCAGGGTAAACCCTTTGGTGGTCTGACAATAGTGTTTGGAGGAGATTTTAGGCAAACATTGCCTATAGTTTTGAAAGGTACAAGAACTGATATTGTCAATTCGTCTATTAAGAGATCATACCTCTGGCAGCATTTGAGGGTAATTAAGTTGGTTGAAAATATGCGCTTAGCAAAATATAATTGTTCCCCTGAAGAAGCTGCTCAGATATCTGAATTCCATAATTGGCTCTTGCAAGTGGGTGATGGTCCAGATTCAGATGTCTTTGGTGAGTCTACTATTTCAATTCCTCCGTCACTGTTAGTTAACCATGCCACAGATCCTATCATTGACATCGTTAGTTCCATTTATGGTGATCTAAAGAGTTCTCAAGTTGATCATGATTATTTGGTTAGCCGAGCTATTTTAGCTCCTCATCATGACATGGTTTCTGCAATCAATGGATATGTTTTATCTGAATTTCCAGGAGATGAGGTGACATATTTCAGTTCCGATTCAATTGAGATTGATCCTGGAAAGGAGGGCGTTGTTTATTCTGACTATTCCGTGGAGTTTTTAAATACATTGAAAATTGGTAACTTTCCAGAGCATGAGCTGAAATTGAAGGTAGGATGTCCGGTCATACTGTTGCGGAATATGGATCAAACAGTTGGACTCTGCAATGGCACCAGAATGGTAGTTAAGACTTTGGGAAAATGGTTTATTGAAGTTGAGATCTTAACTGGGACCAATATAGGTGATCGTGTGTTTCTGCCACGACTTGCATTGTCAACATATTACAAGAGTCTAAACTTCACTCTCATGAGGAGACAATATCCTATTGCTCTTTGTTTTGCCATGACCATTAACAAAAGTCAAGGCCAAACATTGGATCATGTTGGTTTATGCTTACAGAAACAGGTTTTCAGCCATGGACAGCTATATGTAGCATTGTCACGGGTTACAACAAAGCAAGGTCTGAAGATTTTTATTGGTGATGACAACGAAGAGGCCAACAAGTCGATGCTTAACATTGTTTTTCCTGAAATTTTTTCATAACTTTGAGGACTTTTATTTGGTGGAACAAATGTTTATGTTCTTAACTGTATTACATTTTTCCTTTTTATTTCGGAGAGTCACAATTTGGATGGGGTGTGATTATTGCATGAATAATACATATAAAGTTTGTGTCGAAATTGGCCTGCAGCCATGATATCCGTCTGCATGTGGCAGTACTAATTCATAATCATCTTTGCATGAATAGTGAAATCAAATATAATAATTTGTGTAATTGATAATTGATCTAAGTATGTTTAATTTGTATCCAACAAGTGGAAAACATGTGTGTTTTTTTCCTTTGCATTTTTTCCCGTGTAGTTTGTATTGAGTTATTTAGATTTCTTTTGTAGTTTGATAATTAATTTTTCTTTATAATATTTTGAATCTCTATCTTGCGGTAATTGAAGTTTGGATACAATTAGGAATTTTTTTAGCTTTCAACTAGAAAGCTCTTTTTATCTGTTTATAGATAAAAAAGATACTCTATCATATCGACTGATCGGACTTAAAATGTTGGATACCGATCCAACATTGGTAGGCAATTTTAGTTGAGGGAAATGACTCAACTACGCTTAAATCACAATTTGACCACAAATTCCCTACCAATAACATTTTGGTATACGATTCTGTACGGTTTCACAAATATTGCCTTTTACTCTTAAACAAAATCTATTTATTATCGTTTTCAAAGCTATGTTAACTATCATCATGTAAAAAAAAACTAATGATATACCTATGCAAAATATTCTAATGGACTAAAAAATACAACTTATCCAATGGACTAATTTTTTTTTAAAATGGAGATTATCTACCTGACCACTGATAAAAAGAAAAGTTTGTACTCATAGATTACTCAAGAAATCTTACGATTTTAGGAAAACATTAATACCTTTATAGAATTTACAATACTGTTATTACTAATATTATATATACACTGACACTATAAAATCTTTGAAATACTAAACTTTAAATGATTAATGTTAATGGAAAAATGGGCTCATTTCCTATGCGGCTTATGAATTAATGGGGTGCCGGGTTTAAGCACCAATACAACTTTAAAGTTGATTGGGACTGCAAACAAAGCCCAAATGGGGTACAGAGTTTTGACAAAACCCATAGCAAATGACTACACACATGCGGCCCGACACCTTCCAAATTGACCTTTCTAAATTGGGCCTGTTTTTTTTTTTTTTTTGGCGGCTTTCCAGAAGCATTGGCAGCGACCAGCGAGTTCCATCCCTAGAGGCTAGAGTACTTGGATTATTCTCGGCGACACCACTGCCTTTCATCGGCGAGCGAATTGCAATCAATGCTGCTAGAAAGTTACGGATACCGAGTGGTTCTTCTTGGTCTCCATGACCCAGTCGTTTGTGAACGGGGTCGGGTTGCCGCGTCAGGCTTTCTTTAACGGGTCTCCGGCCTGGTTGGTCGGGTCGGATCTTATGGCCGCGGCTCCCTGCGACCGGGCCAAGCAGGGACAAGTGTTCGGCCTCCAAACAATGGTCTCCATCCCGTCGGCCAACGGCGTCGTCAAGCTCGGGTCGACGGACCCGATTTACCAGAGCTCGGATCTGATGAATAAGGTTAGGGTTTTGTTCAATTTCAGTGGCAGCAGCGGCGGGATCGAAAGTTCCTGGGCTCCGCCGCCACCGACGCCGTGGAATCCCGACCAGGGGGAGAACGACCCATCTTCGCTCTGGATCACCGACCCGGAAATGAAGGACGGTTCCCACCTGGAATCAGACGTCGGAGGTCAAATCCTCAGCTCCGGAATGTCGCCTCTTTGTGGCGGCAGCGGGAAACAAAAGGAACCACAATGCTTTTCAATCCGAAGTACTCATTGAACATGGACGGTAATTTCTACTGGACCTGTTATTGCGGGATGTCGGTTATTGGGAAATTTACATTGGATTATAACTGACACATTTGCATTTTTCCCTCCATTTCCATCCCCAGCTCTACATCCCCTGACCACGCAGGTCACGTTGGTCTAGCAGTTACCCTCCGAAGATGTTGCCGTTGCTGGCCAACGTGGGGTAATTGTTAACTGCCCCAACTGGAATCCACATATATACAACTCCTCTAAATCCCTCTACTCAGTTTAGATTTCAGTGGTCACTTTCTAAATCCCGCCAGGTAACTTCTTCTTCTCAGGAAATTTTTCCCACTTCATTCCTCCATCAAACCAACTTCCTTTTCCTACACCATAACTAAGTGCTTCTGTATTTTGGTAGCTACACCATGGCATTCAATGGCATCCGAGATCTTGATTCCGAGAAACAACTCTGGTCAGGCCATTGTCGCGTCTCTAGGGCATGGTTGGGTGTCAATGTGACGACAGATAAAGTCCTGCATTTCGATCTCATCTTGATGGATTCCAAGGTACGGCTGTGCTTTACATTAACTTGAGTTGCGTCACATATCATCCATTCTGTCTTAGTTCGTCTATATAAATCCCCAGGGAAATGATATATGGGTGCATATCCCACCGGTGCTGCAAGAACACTTCAAACGATTGCTGCAGGAACAGCAAGTCTACAACATAAAAAACTTTGAGATTCACACGACCCAACTGAAATATCGCCCCATTGCCAATACATATATCATGTCGTTCTCCCGGAAGACTACTGTTCAGCATGTTCCTGATGTCCCTTCCATTCCTGCCTTCAAATTCAATTTCCTGAAAGCAAGTTAGATGGCATCTAAATTGAATGATGTGGATGTCCTCTCAGGTTACTGCCTCAATTTATTCAGTGGTTGATTTCCCTTATGTGCTTACTTGCAGCTAATTTCCATTCACTGTTTCTTTGTATAGATGTTGTTGGACAAGTAGTACAGCACTCGGATGCCATCAAGACAACGAATCTTGCTAGGAAAACCATTCGGAAGGAGCTTCAACTGAAACTAATTGAGTAAGAGCTATCTTTACTACGGCTGTATCAATATGAATTTGGAGTTACATGAATGATTGGTGATTGCTTGGGTACAACGTCCTAATTTTTCTAGGCAGCATAAATTTGGATCATAGATTATTCAGCCCCTGATCATATAACTTCATATCAGTCACTTCATTGTATGCTGTTCATTTACACCCATGCTCAGGCATTACTTATGTTCTCAAACCTAAACCTACATTGTTTTACAGAGGTGATGTTGTCAAATTTGTTATCTGGGGAAGAGTTATAGCTGAATTTGATAAGTTAATCAAACCTGGTGATGATGAACAAGTCATACTGGTTGTAACTGCTGTTTCTGTCAAACCCTTCCAAGGTACAAAATTTGTTTACACTGTGCTGCATTTGAGATATATGGGTGACTGATCAGTAGGAACTACATCAATTTACTTTTCCAGGTGAACTTTGCTTTAATTCTTCGGGTTCAACAGTGTTGTATCCCAACCTTGATATCCCAGAAGTAAAGGCTTTCACAACCAGGTATTCTCTTTTAATTGCTACTGAATATCCGAACCATACCGTTGAACCAGTGTCAAATTAAAATATTTATTTTCTTTTCAAAAAGCAATGTGCAACCACAGCAGCCCGTGTTTGTTGAATTACCCCCACCCCCCTCCATTCCTAATGTTACTCTATCGGAATTGCTGGAACTTCAATTGGACCCTGATAATGAGGTTAGATTATGCTGTTTTCTCTAATTTTACATTATGGTGTTTTCTCTAATCCATACTCCAATATTAATTCACTTCGACTACAACTAGGAATGTGTGTATGCTGTCGAATGCAAAGTCGTAGGAATCAAGCCATTTTGGTGTTACATGGGCTGTCCAACCTGTGTGCTTAAACCCATGGAAAGACATGGAGAATACTACTGTGTCAAATGCAACAAGCCAACACCAACTAGAGCTGCCAAGTAAATACCATATCATTGAGTTTCAAAATAAATTCCATGATACCTTTGAATTATAAACTTCATTGAATATGCTTCCTTTCCATTTCACGCCTTTTCAGATATCGTATACAGCTTGATGTTGAAAGCAATTCTGGGCCAGCTACCTTTATCATCTTTTTTTTTTTGGTAGAAACCTTTATCATCTTTGAGTATGAAGCAAAACGCTTCTTTGGTGTCAGTGGTGATGAACTTTTCAATAAGACTGGTCAAAACAGTGAGGTACCCCCTGCAGATCTACTCAAAATGGTTGGTGTCACCAAGCTATTTCATGTCAAGTTCAAGATAAATCTCTACAGTGATTCACAAGCTGATTTCACCGTCTTAAAAATCTTGGAACCCACAGCACAGGTGAGCTACTCATTAGACCTTCCAGACTTAGTACTCTAATATGATTTTTTGTGTACAATGACTAGGACACAGTTTTGCATGACCTGAATCATACTTGGTTAATAATAGCTGTCGTTAAATCCTTTTTAATTCCTATTACTAATTGTTTCTACTTTCCACCACTTCGAATCTCAGTCTCCAGCTTCTGTTCTTCACAAAGATGCCTCATGCTCATCAATTACCAGTGGAGTTGAGTCCTCCCAAACTTCATCTCAACATTCCATCCCAATTCCAGCACATCAAGAGGCAGACAAAGGCGTTTTTGTTGATATCACACCTGATAATAAACTGAAACGAAAGATGCACCCAGAATGATATCTGAGGGTTGGAACTTTATATCACCAAGATCCTATTAGTAGTTCCACTTTGATTTTGCAGAATAGTAGTTCAAGTTGTTCCTTTTGTTTCTAGACTGCTGGTGTTTGTCCAAACTGTTTACTGGTTTTCCTTTTTTCTGTTTGTTGTGTTGCACAATGACAATGGGAATCTGTCCCCTACAAGGATTTATGGATTTCAATATAAGTACCTCTTTTGTTGGATGCAACTCACATATAATTCCTACTGCAGTAGTAGCTTAAATATTATTTAGCATATTTCATTTCACCAGGTGGCATTCCATACTTTTGTTGAGCATCCCATCTATTATTCCGTTACCATTCCATACTTTCCCCCTACTTTTTGCATGCTACAGGTGGCATTCCATCCCTATAATTCCTCAACAAGAATTCTATACGCAGCAACTATAATAATTTGCTAAGATCCTACTCAACAAGAATTCTATACTCAACAAGAATTCTATACGCATCAGTGGGGAGATTTTATCCCGTCTTTCTCTCACATCCAACGTTATAATAATTTGATCCTCCTCCCCAAATAATTGTTCCTACTCAGTCTTTCTCATTGGGTTTTTCCACTTGGTTCCTTCGTCTTTCTGAAACCAGGAAACAATCAAATTAGCTAAGTTCCGGATCTTCATTCCACTTATGTTATCATGTCTTTCGCTTCTATATCGCAACTGGTACCAACCCTCCAATCAAAGTGTCGGCTGCGGGTTCGCATTCTGCGTGTATGGCCAACGCAGAGCATGGCGGGTGATACAATTTATTGGCTTAACCTCCTCTTGATTGACTGTCAGGTAAGCATGGCAGATGTTAATTGTAACAACCTGTTCTTATAATGTGAATCATAATCATCAAAGCTTTTATTTTTTAGGGTGCAGAGTGTCAAGGAATGATTTTCAGTTTTTATCTTCCCAAGTTTGACAAGAAAATTGAAGAAGGAAAAATATATGCTATTTCCAATTTTGAAGTTGATGACGCTCCAAAACGCGATCGCGTCACCGTTTCCACCATATACATCACATTGACTGCAAAAACAGTAGTTGAGGAGCTGGTCGATGCAAGTGATATTAAAAAATACAGCTTCAAATTCTTGAAATCTACCGACTTCGCAACCGCATACGCAAACGATCAATATTTGTCAGGTTCAATTGCTTTCTCCCATCTTTTGACAATTAATGAATTAAACACATCTGTATTTTCACCATGCCTTTGGTTACACGTTTTTTCTCTCCTATGTTGTATCTCAGCATCCATTACATGCTCATACAGTGGGATCCTTTATCTTATCTCATTACTTGCGACTTTCTAATGCAATATTGTACATATGAAATATGATGCTCATGCCAGATTTAGTTGGTGAAGTTGACCATACAGAATCAACTGTTGAATTATTGGACGGACCACTTCGTGAAAAGACAATAACTGTGTACCTAAAACTGATAGAGTGAGTCCTCTAACTTTTATTGTCGTTTGATGTTCACTTACATGTTCCACATGCTCTAGCAATATCACTTTATTTCCTCATACCTTTTAGGGGAGTCGTCATCCGGGTACTACTAAATGGATCCTTAAGTCATGCATTTGAAGCATTCATGGCTCATCAACCGCAATCAACGGTGGTTTGTGTACTTACTTCAGTATACGTGGAAAAAACATCCACAAATGGTATCCTTGCTATATGGGTTCATTTGCTGCCAATTGTTGTTGCGCAATTTGATATATGTTTGTCCCCGTATAAGAACAACATCTTTTCTTCACCAAATTACATTATCATTTTCAGGCCAGTATTACTTCGCATCATCCTCAGCATCCAAGTTATATTTTAATTTGAATCAGCCTTTCTTACACCCATTTCTCAACCCGTGAGTACATTTACTTATGTAAAGAAGTCGTATGCCTGCACATAGTTATAAAAAATAACTTCGCCATATTTAATTTCTTATGCCAGACTAAGAAAAGTCAAATACATCATTAAAGATGACTCCTATGAAGAAGCCAAAGACCGCGCAAAAATGTGTACAATTGCAGATCTAACTGTATTGCGCTTTCGTGGAAAATTGATGGTAAGGAGTTTTGCAAATTACAAACTTTTATCACGATTTCTTCAATGCTTCCTACTAATCATACATGATCATTATTTTTACTTTTTTTTTATTCATATATGAACTTTTATAGGGAAACTACTACATTGTTTCTGGCCATATCCTCGACATGAAAGTCATACAGGAATTCAGCTGCAGGCAATACTTTGTTCACCTCACTATAAGTGACAACTTTGCATCATGTCCTATATATTTCAAATCACATAAATTTAGATCGATTGCACGTGCTGTGATCAACAAAGATGATGACTACGTGGATAAACACTATACAGAGATACTCAAGTCTCTCATAGACCAATCTTTTTCTTTTATCCTGAGGGTTCATTATGTATGTTTTAGGGGACGCAACTCTAATCTTGAACTATATGGTCTTCTTAAATAGTAAAAAACAATTATATATGGTTTGTTTCATCTTTTGAAATTTGTATCCTTTGATTAGACATATTTCCACTCTTATTGTTATATTTTCCACATATTATATGTACATATTTTTTCCTAACCTTTCCCGGCCAACGGGCCGGGCCCAGTGCTAGTATTATAGTACACCGAAGGGAAAAACGGGAGCCCCATTTCAAATTTCCTGCAACGAGAGTGAAAGTAGGAAGGACATTTTGGTCTTCACAATTACTTTTTTTATTCATTAAATAGACACGTACTGGATTCGAACCATGACCATTTTAAAGAAAAACAAGGATCATAACCAATCACACTAAGTACATTTGTTGTATGTTTTTAAATTAAAAACATATAATAGCAGGGAGGAAAAAACTCTTCCCCCATTTCAAATTCCCTGCTCCAGGAGCGTTTGTATGAAGGGTAGAATAGGGAGTGTCAATTTTTTTCTCTTTTCTCTGTGGAACTGGCCAACTTACCGTACACATGTAGATTTAAACGGAGCCAGGAGTGTCAATTTTCTTCTTTAAGCTCTTTTATTTCTCCGTGGTGATAAAATATATATGAAAAGGCAAAAACAATACTCCTTTTTATTGCTAAAAATATAAAATTTGACAATAAACTAATGCATGGTATCTAATGGGCTAACCGCTAACCATAAAATAAAAGAGTTGAATGAGCCTAACCTACATGGGATTTGGCCATCAAGTAAAACAAATGAACATCATTGGTTTGCCATTCTAAAAGCGTTTGTAGGAAGGGTAGAATAGGGAGTGTCAATTTTTTTTCTCTTTCCTCTGTGGAACGGGCCAACTTACCGTACACATTCGGATTTAAACGGGTCTAGGAGTGTCAATTTTTTTCTTTAACCTCTTTTATTTCTCCGTTGTGATAAAATATATATGAAAAGGCAAAAACAATACTCCTTTTTACTGCTAAAAATAAAAAATTTAACAATAAACTAATGCATGGTATCTAATGGGCTAACCGCTAACCATAAAATAAAAGAGTTGAATGGGTCTGACCTACACGAGATTTGGCCATCAAGTAAAACAAATAAACATCACTGGTTTGCCATTCTAAAACAAGCTATTTTCTCTAGCATAATATATATTATGGTATTATTTTATATCTTAGTGGCTAAAATATAATGTATGTTAAAGTTATTCAATTGTTCAACCTCGACCAACCCAATTAGTCCAATTTTTATCATTTCAAATATATATTATATAATTATTTGATATCATAATGATCAAATTATAGAGTATTTTATAGGGAATCGTTTGGTATTTGTTAGTAAAAAACTAAACAGAAATATATATTTTAAACATTAAAACGATCCTAAACATTTTCGGTTCCTTTTGAATTTTTATGGTTTTATTCCCGAATAAGTGATGTGCAAATGGCGAATTGCAGTCATCTCTTTTCTTTTCACTATTTTTTATTTTCAAATAGAAAGTTTAAAAGTAAAGAATAATTAGAATTTGGCATGGGTCGGTCAAACAGGCTAAATTTCAAGTTTTGATCCGTTTTGATCAAGTCTAATTTATAATCACATGGTTCCCTGATACTCGATAAAAATCTCTATCCAAACCAGTTTGGCAGGTGAGTCCGTGTTTACCACCATTTTCTAGGGATACGACAACAACGGTTCCTATCCCAAATCGTGTTGTTCGTTCTTGATTTACTTAAATTTTATCATGGCCAGACAAAAACCAGAAAGCACAATGACGACAAGATGAAAGTTTTATAAAGCTAATTAATCGGCCAACGGGCCGAGTAAAAGCTAGCAACGATTGTGAGATGCTCATTTCCCAAAAACCGACGAGATAGGCTTTTTTTTATTCGATTTTTTGGAATTCGGTTTCTATAAAACTTACTCCACCTCATCATATTACCAGAAACAATATTGTTTCACAAGGTAACAGGTACTTGATTTTTGTTCATAAGGCCGATTTTTTATTCGTTGCATCATTCATGTCTCTTTCCTGCTAAAATTCATTATTTTTATCACGTGCTTCCCAAAAAAAACTATACAACAATAAGCTATACACCCCATTACATTATCAATTTTCATACCTCACCTTCCTCCGGCCAACTGGCCGAGGCCACGCTAGTTTTTTTAATATGGCGGTTTGACAACTCGAACGGGTCATCCAAAATGTTCGGTTAGAGTTGTTAACCTTTCGAAATTCGAATCGATGTCTTACAGACCGTTTGGTACAAAATGAACCGGGAATTCATTTCATTTTAAAATGAATTCTTGTGTTTGGTATGTCATGTTCAAATATTTAGAAATGAAATGAATTGAATTCTCAATTATGTTTAGTTACATTCGGAATTGAATTAAATTAAAAGTTTTCAACTACGCCCTTATTAATTTCCATTAAATCGAAATAACTAATAGCTCACGGTATGGAGGATCAGTAATCCAAATGAGATAGTAAATGAATAAAAACTATTCCATGGTTCCTTTATTGCAATACGTGAATGGATGTGTGGAGTTTCCATTGCAAAAATCCAATTTTAAAGAAGCAAAGATCCAAATTGCAGGGATCTGCGTTGAGCCTTGAATAAACAGCCAAACAAATTTTTAAATAAGTTCTGCATCTCCCTGATAACTTCAAAACTTGGATGATTGATTGCTAGATTTCAATTATGAGGTTATAGTGATCGATCAACCTCATACACTAAAAATAAACAAGGACCCATACAACCAAATCAAAACTGGGAGAATCACATCTATATGAAACATTGAAAATCCATATTCTAAAAAATGCAAATGATAAAGTTATTATCAAACCAATACGACAAAACAAAAAGTTCGAAAAAAGTAGCAAATAGTTTGAAGCTCCATCCTCTAAATATCTTCATTGTAACCCATTTTTCTCTTGAGCCAAGCGAGCTTGATCTCCTCGTCACAAGCAAAGAACCTTTCAACTAGATGCTCATTGTCCTTCAAAAAATTGAGTGCCTCCTTAACTTCCCATTTGTCTAACCCCAATTTTTTTAACTCGGCTGAAAGCTCAGTAGCAGCATATATCCGTTGATTGCTATTTTTTATGGCACTGGCAATTTCTTTCATCGAAGATGTTATCTGCATAATCTCTTCAGCAATGGTACTGGACATAGATCTCTTTCTTTTGGTTCCTTTAGTAGACTCTTTCCCGGGCCGCGCTTTTACTTCAACATTAATTGGTGGCACCGCTACTCCTGGAACTTGGCTAGCTTCTGGCACTAATGGATCAAGGTGAATCTCATTGTTGGCCAGCATCCTATCAATATCATCAATTCCCAACTCTGATTCAACATTGTGGTACTTAGTAAAATTTTTCTTAGCACTCATGGCACCATCTCCATTTGCTGATCTTTCTAAAAAATTCTCGAGCATTCTCCAAAAAATGAAGTTCCTTATCCCGAATCAAATTGTAATCAGGCTTCATCTGAGAAAAACAGTTGACAAAAGAAGTGAAAAAATGAAAAAAACATCATTATTCTTAAGTACAAACATCAATCAAGTAAACATTACTTTTATTATAGTATCCCAAACACTTGGAGCAGCTTCAATTGTTTTGGTCGTATCATTCCATCCGAAGCCACTCTTTTTATCTAAGACCTCAATGGCAAGCCCCATTTGCTTTTGGATAGTCTTTAGCCTGTTAACTGCCTTTGTCTTATCGATAGTTTTACCATGCTTTTTAAACCCCAAATTTAGCCTAGCAATGACAGTAGTCCAAGCTGCTTTGTTAAATTGCTTCTCATCCTTATTTCCTTTGGCCTTTTCCTCCTTCAGAAGGTCTAAAAGAAGTTTATCCATCTCCTTTGGCCGCCTAAGGTATTTGTCAGTCTTTTGAGGATTGGTGTTCAAAATTTGGACTTCATCTTCACCCGCTGCCATCATCTATTTGAACCATTAAACAAATACAAAATACGAACTAAGTAGAAGCAACAACTTCCATTAAAGACAATAATATCCAATGTAAAAGACAAAAAGTGCTTCAAGAACTATGAAAAACACATTTCGGAGCTTGTGACTAGCATCTCAAAAGTGTTCTTGGGTGTTTCTATTCTATTCATTAGCTATTTTCTAATACTTCGTCGATGAACCCTACACTCCAGTTGTGGCTTTTCAACATACTAATATAATCGAAGAAGAAATATCAAATAACCAGCATATGCTACTAACGTTCCAATCAAATTTTTGTCGTTATTCCTCATACTGCATGCAAAATAATAACATATAAACACAAATGTCGACAGTATGAGCATAACAAAAGAAGAGACAGTAACATAAAAAAAACATAAAGTGATCTCAATAACAGACAAAGGAAACACATATATTATATATAAACCTAATCTCATTATAAGCTCATTAGCAGTAGCTTTACGGGTAAATATATAAGAGCTTTGAACCATGTAACAGAAACAATACCCATCAAAGAACCGCAAAAGAAAAACACATAAATAAAACTAACCTTCTTTGTGGCATGATTGATACAGAATTGAAGAAGAAGGGACTTGCGCCGGCAACTTGGTAAATTGGGAGTCTCCGATGAAAGTAGGGTTTAGTTATAACCACAGAGCTGTATATAGGGTTTAATATACCCGGCTGAAGAAACTAAGTACGCGCGCAAAATTGTTTATGCGCCAAACTAGTATACAGGTGAGTAAATTAATTAACAATTAAGAATAATTATGTAATTTTATTATAATTAGTAAATTTTTGTGGAATTCATTTGGAAATTTCATCTCAATTCCACGGAATTGCTATAACTAGCTCTAATTCCGTAGAATTCAAATTTTAAAATTGAAAATGAATTCTTTTATATACCAAACACAAAAAAATTCATTTCAAAATGAATTCCTCAAAACTTATGGAGTTTATTTATACCAAACGGTATGTTATTGTTCGATTTTGAATCAGCGGTTAAGATAAATCATCCAGACCGATTTGATGGAGCACTTCTACTATGCTATATAGTATTGGTGCTTAAATGTACAACTTAAAGTTGTACCATAACATTAAATGTATCAGTTTATGTTGTACCATAAAGCAATTTGTACCATTATGTTATGGTACAATTGGGAGTCTCCGATGAAAGTAGGGTTTAGTTATAACCACAGAGCTGTATATAGGGTTTAATATACCCGGCTGAAGAAACTAAGTACGCGCGCAAAATTGTTTATGCGCCAAACTAGTATACAGGTGAGTAAATTAATTAACAATTAAGAATAATTATGTAAGTTTATTATAATTAGTAAATTTTTGTGGAATTCATTTGGAAATTTCATCTCAATTCCACGGAATTGCTATAACTAGCTCTAATTCCGTAGAATTCAAATTTTAGAATTGAAAATGAATTCTTTTATATACCAAACACAAAAGAATTCATTTCAAAATGAATTCCTCAACTTATGGAGTTTATTTATACCAAACGGTATGTTATTGTTCGATTTTGAATCAGCGGTTAAGATAAATCATCCAGACCGATTTGATGGAGCACTTCTATTATGTTATGGTACAACTTTACAACTTGAAATTGTACCATCACATGAAGGTACAAGTTCAAGTTGTACCATAAAAGAATTTGTACAAAAAGTGTAGGTACAATCTAAAGTTGTACCGTAACGTAAATGTACAATTTTAAATTGTATCATAAAGACAAAATCCTATAGCACCAATACTATATAGCATTGTAAAATTTCATGACCGGTCATAGATTTTACCTGTCAGCCCAATTTTCTAAACAATGAGCAAAAATGCAGAAAGAAAACTTTGAAAGGAAGTAACATATCAGGTTGGGTTGGCGAAATGATTCCTTAACCCGTAACCAGTTACTGCTGAACAATTACTTATTTATTTGATAATTGATAAAGTGAAATTCCTAATTTCCTACCCTAGACGAAACAATTCAGACTACTAGCGGCAACTGAAGAGACCTGCTCGCCCTCCGCCTTCGCCTCCGCCTCCGCCTCCGCCTCGGCGCCTCCCTCAGTTTGCCGACGGCACTTCTCTTCACTCCGGCATCCCTCGCCCCTCCCTCTCTCTCTCTCTGCCCAATCACGTTCTCTAATTAGCTCCCCTCTTTTCTCCCGGGGTAAGACGACGAATCTCGTAAGCCTTCCAGTCGCCGCCGTCCTGTAAAATCCCGCCTGTATTTGCTTCTGGGTTAGTGCGTTTTACGTGGATTTTTTTTCCTGGGGTTTGCTTTTAATTTTAGTTTTTGGAGGATTGTTTCTGGGACTCTCTCTTGAATGATTATGGATGGGTTCTGGGTTTTGCTTCGAATGGCGTTCTTTATGGATACCTTTGGAGTCAATGGATTTGCCCACTTTCGGTTTTGAATCTCTGAAGCGGGATTGCTTTGAACTTACGCTAAATCCTTTTCTAAAATTCTGAGAACTTTCAGTCTCTGTGTTTCCTACTTGATGTCTTTCTCTCAGTCCTTGGAGGTTCTTTCTCACTGTTAGTGGAGTTGGTAGTAAGAAGGACCTAATAACCAGTGGCTAATTGGATTTTTATTGCATCCATGTTCCTGTTTGTAAGCAGGAGTCGTAGGAGTAGCTTTGGATTTTTATGGGCACGGAGAAGAAGATGGAGGAGACAGATAAGAAGACAGAGTTCAGGTTGTACAATACAATGAGCAAAACTGTTGAAGTTTTCAACCCCATTGTTCCTGGCAAAGTTGGCATGTACGTTTGCGGTGTCACTGCCTACGATCTGAGCCACATTGGCCATGCTCGTGCTGCTGTTGTCTTTGATGTTCTCTTCAGGTATGCAATTTGAACACAACTACGTGCTATGCAATGAGTGGAATTAGTTCTTGATGGTGATAAAAATGTATCAGATGTTTAGCTTGTTTCTGTTTGCTATTATCTACTCAATTATGTCCCGAGCTCGTTTGGCCATAATTGTGAAATTTGCATTGGATAGCACTGTAGGTGTCTGATTAATCATACTGGTTAAATTTAGGTTTTGATGATAAAGTTGATATATTAGCCAGGTGAGTGCTGAGATTTCACACACGTTTTCAAATGTAGTATTTCCTAGAGCTGCAATGTGGTAGTTCAGACTGTTCTGTACCTTGATCTTTTCTCAAGTTGGATGAAGCTTAAGTGCTTCAGAGTGTTTGCTAGGCCCCTTTTGGCATGGTCAATCACAGAACTAGCACAGGTGTTGAAGTTCTTTGTCTCAATGCGTGTTCCCATTTATTTGTTCAAGGCACTTGATATGATCTCTAAAATTGTGCAGTAGGGTTGGAGGTTTAGCAAAGTCTTTCCTGAGAAGTTTGTTTTTTGTTTTTGTTCCTTCCAGCTGTTTCAAGGCTAAAAGTATTGTTGAGTACCAGTGTGTATTGCAGTTATTTTATTGCATCCTTCTTCATCTGTAGGTACCTGCAGCACTTGGGTTATGAAGTTACTTATGTTCGAAACTTTACTGATATTGATGACAAGGTGAGATTTTCATCCAAGCCATTGTTTTCGGTATAAATCTGTAAATAATTAAGAAAAATTGAGTGATTTGAAAATTATTTTGGCATTTTGTTGCTGACACTTTTGCTGGATTTGTAGTTTAAATTTTTAGAGTGACTTTGGCTAATTATTTAAACAAAAATCTTCGATGTACAATTATGCGTACTTTAAGTAAGGATTAAAAAGTGAAGCTAGTGGGAACTGGTTGTCTTGAAGTTTTTATGCTCACGGTGTTCAGCCTAATGCCTTGACCCTTCTCCGCAGTTAGTGGCAGAGCCAGATGGTTTTCGCTCTGTCACTGAACACAGGTAAATTATGGTAAAAATATTATAAATCGCTATGTATGCTTATGAAAGAGATCAATCTCATTACCTTAAGGCGACATAATAGTATTTTGCCAATGCATTAACGCTCATTTCTGTTTATTTGATTGCCACAAAAGTAATTTATTACATTTTAAATGAAATCCCCATTAAAATTATTTTATCTTTTGAAAAGAGGACACACCTAGTTTTTACTCTTGGCTCTGCCACTGTCCACAGTAGGCCTCAGCCATAAGTTGTGAAGCTTTCGTAAGAAATTAATGTAAGCTAAAAGTGCAGCCACAAATTGTAATGTGATGTTTGAAGTACCATGCTTTTCGATTTTTGATCGAGCATAATCTCTTCGATACTTCACATCTAGCTTGATTGGTATCTTATTTCTTAGAGGCTTTATGTTCTTGATCCTCGGTTAAAGCATTGATTTTGTCTCCATACATGTGTGGCTTGGCTTTTCTGTTTTAACTATAGCCCCCTAAATCCCAGCTTCTAGTGATGAGAAAGGTAACCTTTCATAGAGCTTCTGAAATAAGAATAAAAGTAGCATAGTTTTCTTGGGGGTTCTGTCATTGTCTGGTTATTCTATTGTTTGACAACTTGGTCATTATTGTTTCGGTTGATCCTTTCTCTTTGTCTTGCATTCACATTCATTGATGACGTGAGCAGATTGCTATGAACTAAGTGAACTAAATAGTCCATAAGCTGTCCAATTCATATGATGGAAGTGCTAATGAAGGGTTTTTCCTTCAGATAATTAAGCGTGCTAATGATCTTGGTGAAGACCCTTTGTCCTTAAGTAATCGGTTCTGTGATGAATATCTTGATGACATGCAAAGCCTGGCATGCCTCCCTCCTACTCACCAGCCTCGGGTAACTGAACACATGGAAAATATCAAGAACATGATAGCTCAGGTATCTTACCAAAGCTACTGGACTATTTGTTTTCACTCTGCAACATAAATACCTGTGTTAGCTACTCTGAACTGCTTGCAGTTTGTTGGAAGGTCTTGAAGTTGTTAACAGTCTGAATAGGGCAATTATCATTTTTGCAGAGTAGCACTTCAAAGCTAGCCTTGACTGTTTTTTTCTTCTTCTAAATAAATGGTACAATTATCTTTTGCAGATTATGGAAAATGGTTGTGCATATGCTGTTGAAGGAGATGTGTTCTTTGCTGTTGATAAGTCCCCAACTTATGGTCAGTTATCTGGGAGGAAGTTGGAGGACAACAGAGCTGGTGAACGTGTTGCGGTTGACCAAAGAAAGCGTAATCCTGCTGACTTCGCTCTTTGGAAGGTCGGCCACCATACAGCTTCTCCCCTCCCCCTCGCTGGATTTGTGGTTTTCCCCTCATATCTGACATTTTTACTTATTTGTATTGCAGGCTGCAAAGGAGGGCGAGCCGAGCTGGGATAGCCCATGGGGTCCAGGAAGACCAGGGTGGCATATTGAATGCAGTGCAATGAGTGCGCAATATCTCTCTTTCAGATTTGATATCCATGGTGGTGGAAGTGATTTGATCTTCCCTCATCATGAGAATGAAGTGGCTCAAAGTAGTGCTGCTTGCAGCGACAGCAAAATCAATTTCTGGGTCCACAATGGGCATGTCACAAACAACAACTTGAAGATGTCAAAATCTTTGGGCAACTTTTTCACCATCCGTCAGGTAAATAACTATCACTTTCTATTTTTCTTTTCTTACCTCGCTTTGTAGCCATTTCCTGTTCTTTTATCACCTCTAAACAACTTCAATTTGTTGCAGGTTATCGAAAGGTACCATCCACTTGCTGTGCGGATGTTCTTGATAAGTGCTCATTACCATTCTCCACTTAACTATACCGTCGGCCAGCTAGAGCTGGCTTCTGAGACAGCTTATTACATCTATCAGGTATCATCCTGTAATTAAGCGATCTTTTTGATTCAGTTTTCCTCCCTGTATTATTGTTTCCTCAACATTTAATTTAATAAATGCACATATATGCATATCTTGAGGGAAATGACTTTGTAAAAATTTGTGATTATGGTGATTACTGCAGACGCTGCATGACTTGGAGATTGCTATGTTACCACCTCAAGATAGCTTGAAGGAGAAAGGTGGTGAAAGCAGTGATAAGAAGAGTAGCAAGAAGCCTATCAAGTTTACTGATGAGGCCGAAAAGTGCATCGCAAAGCTGAAAGCTCATTTCCATGCTAAAATGTCGGAGGATTTAAACACATCACAGTTATTAACTGGAAAAGATTTCAATGAAGCCTTGAAGTACATAAATTCCAATTTGAACCTTCTCAGGGTAGCGCTCATTCCAAGCACAGTTGTCTAAATTGTCGACCTGTTTCTTCATTTGTTTGCATATATGGTGCTGATGAGTTGTTTTATGTTCATCATTCTGTTAATGTCCCTTTTCTTCTTCCCTTGGTATTTTGCAGAAGCAAAAGCAAAAGCTGAGATCGTTAGATGTTTCTCTTGTGGCAGTAGCAAGAGAAGTTGAATCAGTATTGAGAATTCTGGGCTTGATGCCAACTGTCAGTTATTCCGAGGTTGGTTTTGCCATCCATACGATTGTTTTACTGACTGGAAAACATAAAGATCAACCGTGGGATTTTTCTAGGAGCTTGGTGATTTAAATATGTTTGTGTGTGTGATACGTACAGGTGTTACAGCAACTGAAAGAGAAGGCGTTGATTAGGGCTGAACTAAAGGAAGAAGATGTGGCAGCATTGATTGAGGAAAGAAGAACTGCGAGAAAAAACAAGGAATTTGGGAGAAGTGATGAGATCAGGGCTGACTTAACAGCAAAGGGAATTGCACTGATGGATGAGGGCAGGGAAACTGTTTGGAAACCATGTGTTCCTGTTCTGCCTGAAGAAGAAGGTGAAGAGTTAGCAGCAGCGGCAGCAGCAGTGTTAGCAGCAGCTTTGCAATAGCAACTATAAGCGTCAAGTCAGCCCGTAAGCCGTATAATTGAAAACCTGACTTCTTTCGTTGTTAACTAGACAAGTCCCGTTAAATGCATGTGGGGGAGGGACGCACAAACTTTTTGCAGTGTTCTTGTTATACACAGCTGGAAGGATGAGTATGGTTTGGTTGGTCGAGAAACTGTGGGTTGAATGATCCCAAACTCGTCCACCTACTATTGGGCATTTGCTACTTCCATTTGAACAGCCTTAACGTTCACTAGAATCAATGCCCGCTGCTACGCCGCGGGAACTAAAGTTGCAACAACATGATCGTATTGAGAAGTTAGTAAAACATCATTTTGATTTAATGGCAGAATGAAAGTTGCAAGTGGAAGCCCCCATAATCATTCAGAGCAATATGTCCAAACCATTTTTGCTGCTGTGCAAGTTTGAAAATATAGTCAGTATATCTCTTCTGAATTCACTACAGTCTACAACATCTATAATTAGCAACCACTTGATAATTATGTTTCCACCTGAGTAAATTATGTTTCCACCTGATAGATGATAGCTCTCTATAATTAGCAACCACTTGATATAGTGAATGACCACAACAGCAGACAATAGAACTCACTATAGTTTGCAAGCAAGTAACAGCCATTTAGCAGGTATCAACATAGTATGAGACAACTTCAAATACCAATCTGACTGAGGTTTAGCAGAATAGCATGTAGCAACATAGTTATACCTTAGCAAACAGGACAAATGTGCAAACGTAAAATACCCCAATGAATTTCGCTGCTTGGCCATCCCATTCAATAGGTCTCCCGACCATGTTTGTCACTGAACTGAATCTTCCTTGTGCCAGTATAATCAGCAGGAGTTTTTGTCCATTCTCACAATCATTTTTCTCACCATTGGTAACAACCGCATCTTCCTTACAGCTAGTGCGATTGGTAATACTTTCTGATCCATTACCATTATGCATAGGATCACCAATTCTCTCACCAATTTTAACAGCCCCATCCTCTAACCGCCCACTAATGTTGACAGCCTCATTTCATTCCCCTTGCATCCAGTTTCATCGACAATGATTTCGGACTTATTAGTTTCCTGCAGTCGCCACCATCTCCGAGTTCAGAAATAGGATTTCGTTCTCTACAAAGTCTCCAACCTGATAAACATTCAAATTAAGGTAAACAACACAATTTCCTAACAAATTAGTATTATTGATGAGAGATTAGCATGCTGTTTCAAATGCCCATAACACATCTCAAGCATATCATGAGCAGGAAATGGTAATTTGTTTTTGGCTAGGGTTCTAGCAGCAAACAAAAGTACCTAGTGGCTTAAGTTCATTTCCCTTGTGCCCTTGCTTTTCAAAACATTGTGGCCGTAGTAAGGATCCGGGACCTCAGTCTCTGCATCACTGCATGCTTCTTGCAATATGAACACATCAACTTCACCTGCAACAAAACCACACATGAAATCCTCTCCTTCAATAAACAGCCCTACAATCCAATACCATCCACATAAACTATGTAGCCAGCCTTCTTATGTGCATCTATCGGCCTTTCTTTTCCTTTCTGGTGTATCGCCCGCGAGTCAAAATGAATCCATTCCCTTCCTGCTGTTTCCTTGTGTAAACCAAAAAAAAAAAAATTCAAGAATGACTCGGGATATACTCAAGAAAGAACACTCTTGCAGTCAAATTTGAATCAAAATAGTAGAATCCAATATGGATAAAGTTTCAGTTTTAGCACCTCGTTGAGATTATCTTGAACTCTTGAAGAGCCGAGACACATGTATATCTATATTGTCTTTCCCTGTATACAACCAATGAAAGGTCTGGTTTTACGAAAATTACGCTCCTAGACTGAACATCATAGGCTTGACAAAACAAATATATGGAGATTTGATTGCAGATGAGGGTACCAAAGAGATTTTGGGATACTTTGAAGATCGTGGATAATACTAAACTAACATGAAAGAATCGTTTCAAACCATTATCAACCAGCACACAAATGCAATGCAAGAAAGCAACCAAAATTCTTCATGAGAATAGCTTAGAGAAACTAAAGCAATTAGGTTTTCTGGTACCAAACTTCATTTGATTTGCTCACTGTACATGAGAATATCTTCTACAGCGTACCTCGAGCTTCCTTCCACGCACTGTAGGATAAAAAAAGTAATAAAGTTAGGATGCAACACAGAAAAGAAAACATTTGTCGACTTTCCATTCCCGGAGAGAGAGTGAGAGAGTGAAATTAGCGGTTATCTTTTCTCTGATCATTTTCTTAGCAACCAAACAATCGACTCATCAGTCGATCAAGCAATGAACACAACCAACCTCTGACCATTAAAACCTTCAAATTGGCAGGAAATTTCTCCACCACAGCAATCAAAACAACAAAGCAAGTAGCAAGAGGGAATTATTTACAGGAATAGCATTAAAAGAATGTGGCTCTGCAAGTTAAACCTTGCCAAGCAATAAATCAAGTTCCAAATTCATTCTTTGACTCATAGATAAACCTTGAGCAAGGTTTGAGGCAAAATCATGTGCTGACCACCATCACAGCACATAGCATTTTTTTCAAAGAACTAACCTACCGAACTCTAACCAAGTAAGCTACAGTCAGACAGAGATTGTTTTTCTCATCTGCAAAAAGCAAGCGCAAGTCAGCCAAGTAGGACTGGCTACTTATCCCACAGTAAAGATCTAAATGCACAAATATAAAGCAACTTAAATTCTACGCTTATCGATGTGTATTTTAATTCTAAATTGCTTTAATACTCCAAGACTTAAACTCTGCACATGTCCTCATATATTACACTCGATATAGAGAAAAAGATGCCAAACAACAACCAACAGAACACAGTGCAAGGAAGAACTCAAAGCCTCACCTACTGGTCCAAGGAACCTATTGCTGCTTCCCTTCTGCTGTCCACCACATCAAGCCGCCAAATAATGAATAGGGAAAACATTGAACACAACAATGATGGTCTGCATCTTATAAAAGGGAACTAATGAAGTGGAGGAGCAAAAATGCAGGTCTACCATATGATGGTGGGTTCCTCGACATTGAAACAGGTCAATTCGCAGTAACCTCTATAAGGGGACATGACGGTTTGGGAATGACCAGTGGAGGAAGGATTCGAAAGGTTTGAGGTGAGGATTCAATCTACCCTTCTCTTCCATCTGTGCTTTAATTCCCCTTCCACCGGCTCTGGTTTATTACCCTCTCCGTTGCTCTCACTTCCTCTAGAGAAGTCTTCCCTTGAAGAGAAAGGGCGACCGCCGGAAAATCATGGGAGCTGGCGTATTGGAGTAGGTGTGCAGAGGTCGCAGCATCGAGAATCAATCGAAGAAGTGGCGACGCCACAGCTGGGGATTTTGGGATTAGTCGTGAAGGGACGGTGAACATGGAAAGTATGGCCTCGGTGGTGGCGTGTGGGAGTAGCCGCACGGAACCATCAAACTCTGCGAAGCGCCCAGAGTGATGAGATGCAGGAGGCGACGTGTGGCAGCGGATTTCTGGGAGTGGGACCAGTGGCGGAGCCACTTGGAGAGGAGGGGGTGCTTTGCACCCCCCTTGGGTTTGGAGAAAAAATTTCCGAGTAGGGGTATATAAAAATTCGAACCAATGACCATTCAGTTGCAGGAAGAATTTCTTATCATTTCGATCGAGTGAGTTTTGTTATGTAATGCACTTTCGTCTTTATTTATAGTAATAAATTATTGTCTTTTGTTTAAACTAGCTCTTTTTTTTTTGTAGCTCTACAACAGAGAAATTTCTTGTCTTTTGTTTAAACAAAGTTGAAAGTGAAGAAGTACCAATTGAAGTTCACTTGTTTGTTTCACAAAATCAATTCCAAGGTACTTCTGAGTTCTAATTTGTAATATTTGATGAATGGAAGTCTTGATTTGTATGTACTGAACTTATTTGTTTGACGTTGTAACCGGTGTACGTGAAACTATTTTAATGTAATTGTGTGAATTTAGAGTATTGCGTTGTTGACTTTTTGTTTAATTTAAAGTTGACTTTTCTATTGTATAGGTGATTTTTTATGATATGATAAAGACACCCCCTTGGCCAATTTCCTGGCTCCGCCACTGAGTGGGATGAAGGGATGGCGGCCCCGTACGGAAAGTATGGTGGTCTCAGTGTTTCGGACGAGAAGAGCAAAACTTAGACAAATCCGATGAAGTTCTATTGGGCCTCAACCACAACACGACAAATAATGAAACAGTATTGGCAATAAAGAGTAGTCAACTTTTACATATAAGATAATTGCTTGGTTGAATTGACAATAACATGGATGCTATCTAGGAGAGAGGAAGCTTAGTGTCCAAGTCGTTAGGGCTTGCCATCTATGAAGCGTCTGTAGTGATGTTGAATATGGACAAGTTGGGGTAAGAAGGGCTAGTCGAGCCTAGAGGTTGAGAGTGTCTTTTCATGGATGTTATTTCTACTCTCTCTCCCGTTTCCTGATGGAAACTACAGCCAGGTTGCTTGAACAGTTGAACCTTTGACAGGGGAACTGGGAGAGAGAGACTAGGATTCAAATAGAATTGCTACCTTTGTCAAAGGCGGCCGGCTAAATTGAAGTCATATTTACACTGAGCTTTGTCGATGGCCTGCCCATATCTTCTCCCATAATGCCAACTGCAAAACGACGAGTACAGAGTGCTTAGATAGTCATAAATCAGTCCTCAATTCATCGGTCTTTTTCCTTCTATCTTTCATTTAATTTATAGTCTCAGTCGCAAGAACTCACCGGTCAGGCAATCACACCTCGCATTTACTCTTCCTCTGTCGTATTTAGTCCAGGCCGGCCCGGCTCACTGACCCACCGCCGGAACTTGACCCACATCTTCTTGTTAACTTAACTCGCGCATTCAATGCCAATCATTTTGTCTCCTTTTGCATTCCTCTTTCCCTTCCTCAAGTGCCACACCAAATTGGTTGTAAATAAATCCTCCCAACGGTACATCTCCGACGCCGATGAAACCCGACCCGGCCGGCTGCACTCATCATGGTCATGGAGCCTTCTTCCCGCCTGAAGTATCTCCTTCCCTCTCTCCTCCTTCTCTTGTTCATATCTGGTTGCTTAAACTCGGTAGCTGGACCTGTCCCCGGAAACGAGTCGGACAGACTCGCCCTGCTCGACTTCAAGAGCCTCATCACCCAGGACCCGCTCCAAATCCTCAGCTCATGGAACGGGTCGGTCCATTTCTGCAACTGGGTCGGGGTTTTCTGCAACCCGTCAAACTCCAGGGTCCAGATTTTGAGTCTCCAGTCTCAGAGATTGAGCGGCTCCTTGCCTCCTTCATTGGGCAACCTCTCTTACCTCACCGCCATCAACCTCCGAAACAACAGCTTCCGCGGCCAAGTCCCTCCTCAAATCGCCCGCCTCTCTCGCTTGCAGCAAATCAACTTCACTTTCAATTCCTTCTCCGGGGAATTCCCTTCCAATCTCAGCACTCCCGACCTCACTGTTCTTGACCTCGCCGGGAACAACTTCTCCGGCCAGATTCCCGACTCCCTGGCGTCTAAGTCCAGGTTGGTTTGGCTGGACCTCGGCTTCAACAGCCTGACCGGAATTGTCCCCAGATGGCTGGGGAATATGTCTTCGCTCGCTGTTCTTTCGGTTGGTCCCAATTATTTAGTAGGAAATGTACCGGACGAGCTCGGCAAGCTTTCCAGGCTGGGGTTCTTCCAGCTATACGACAACTCTCTCACTGGTACCATTCCTCCTGCGATTTACAATATCTCGTCGCTCTACTACTTCTCTGTTGTTCAGAACCAATTGCACGGCCAGCTTCCGACGGATGTCGGCCTCACGCTGCCAAACCTGCGAACATTTGCCGGCGGCGTGAATAACTTTACCGGCGAGATTCCTGTTTCATTAGCGAATGCATCTGGGCTTCAGATTATCGATTTTGCTCAGAATGGCTTTACTGGGAAAATTCCTCATAGCCTGGGAGGTTTGCAAGGCTTAACCAGGCTTAATTTTGATCAGAATAGGCTTGGAAGTTATGACATTGGAGGAATGGACTTTCTTGCTGATTCACTGTTTAATTGCTCGAATCTGGTGGTCCTGGGCTTGTCCAGAAACAAGTTTGGGGGAACTCTGTCAAACTCCATAGCTAATTTGTCCAGTCAACTGCAAATCCTCACTCTGGGAGAGAATCAGATTTCAGGAACGATTCCTGATGGGATAGGGAATCTGGTGAGCTTGGCAAGTCTGGGTTTGGAAGGGAACTATTTTACAGGCAGTGTACCAAACAGCATTGGGAAGCTTCAGCAATTGGAGGGTTTAAATCTCAATTACAATAGATTGTCTGGACAAATTCCTTCCTCCATTGGTAACTTGACCAGATTGACCAGGCTTTTCATGGAGGTAAACCGGCTAGAGGGAAGCATTCCTCCCAGTCTGGGGAACTGTCAAAATCTGCAGAATTTGAATATTTCTTCCAACAGACTCAGTGGAAGCATACCCAGAGAAGTTATGGGGCTTTCCTCTCTCTCAATTTCCTTGGTTTTGTCCAGTAATTTCTTGACAGGTGGAATACCACCTCAAGTTGGGAATTTGAACAATCTGATGAACTTGGATCTGTCAGGGAACAAGTTGACAGGTGAAATCCCTGGAACAATTGGCAGTTGTATAAGCTTGGAGAGCCTAAGCTTGCAGGGGAATGATTTCCAAGGCAAAATTCCAGATTCTCTCAAATCCTTGAGAGGGATAAAGAGCCTGGACTTTTCAGGAAACAACTTTTCGGGTAACATTCCTGAATTCCTCACCACACTCTCTTCCCTCGCCCATCTTAACCTCTCTGAGAACAAATTCACAGGGGAAGTTCCAAGCAAAGGTATATTCGGAAACTACACAGCCTTCTCTATAGCTAGAAATTCCAGACTCTGCGGTGGAATCCAAAATTTACACCTGCCTTCATGCACCCAGGAGACGAGGCAGAACAAACCCACTAAATCTCTTAACCTCAAGATCGTCATTCCAGCAATTTTGATAGCCATATCTGCTGCTGTTATGGCCTTTTGTCTTGCTGTAATCCTTGTTAGAAAAAGAAGAAAGAAAGAAAGACCCTCATCGGCAAGAAGCTTGGAAGTTGACCTTGCTTCAGAGCAGGACTACCAAATAGGAGGCCTTTTATCTTATTCGGACCTCCTGAAATCGACAGATGGCTTTGCTGCTGAAAACTTGGTGGGTTCAGGAAGTTTTGGTTCTGTCTACAAGGGAGCCTTATCTGATGAAAGAACGACGGTGGCAGTTAAGGTTCTGAACCTTCAGCAGCAGGGTGCTTCGAAGAGCTTCCTGGACGAATGCAATGCTTTGAAAAACGTCAGGCACAGGAATCTGGTTAAGATCATGAATGTCTGCTCAACTGTAGATCGACGAGGGAATGAGTTCAAAGCTATAGTCTTTGAGTTCATGCCTAATGGAAGTCTTGAAGATTGGCTTCATCATCAAGACCGAGCTAGAAGGCTGAGCCTTGCGCAGAGACTTAACATAGCTATTGATGTTGCTGCCGCACTGGAATACCTACACCATCATTGCGAAACTCCGATTGCTCACTGTGATCTCAAACCCAGCAACATACTTCTGGACCAGGACTTGACGGCACGCGTGGGTGACTTTGGATTGGCAAGTTTTCTCTTTGATGGAAACCAACCGTTGCTATCAGTGAGCTTGAAGGGTTCAATCGGCTACATTCCTCCAGGTACGTGTTCTGCTTCTGACTTTCTGCTACGGCTCAAATCCATTACCAACCATTTCTGAGCGCCACCTGAATCACTATCTTGTCAAAACAGAACCTGTTTTTGTTTAATGATGATTGTCTAAATGGCTCTGATGCAGAGTATGGACAGCGCGGCCGAGTTACAGTGATGGGAGATGTTTACAGCTTTGGGATACTGATTCTGGAGATGTTCACAGGGAAAAGACCTACTGACGAAATGTTCAAAGACGATTTGAGCATTCACCAGTTCGTGGCAATGGCGTTGGCAAGGGGTCATGTCATTGACGTTGTTGATGCATCGATGCTTGTTGATGAAGAAATAAATGGTGGTGGTGATGATGATGATGATGATGATGGCTGTGGAAGGGAAGAAGAGAAGGGAATGATGTGGGCTGCTGTGGGTACTCTTTCAGGGAAGGAAAAAGTTGGAGAATGCTTGATCGAAATAATGAGAGTCGGACTGGCTTGTTCTGTGACGTCTAGCGGGAATCGGATAGGAATGAGCGTTGCTGTAAATAAACTGCAAGATATTAGGGATTCGTTGCGCAGATGATAAGGAGGCGAACTTCAAGAGGAGTCAACAAACCCATTGATCAGATTGGCAAGCACAGTCATTTTCTACCTGAAAACCATATCCAATCTGTAGTTGCAAGATATGTATATATATTTCTTTCTTTGTTTTGGATAGGTGTGACTGAGATGTATTGTATTTGTGTAAATCAGATGTTACAACTTACAACACAAATTTTTGTAAAGGGGAAGTTTTTTTTTTTTTTTTATTGAGATAAAATTAAAGAAGTTGAAACTTCTTCGACAGAGTAATAATGGCTGGAGGGACCTATGAAACCAAAGAAAACAACTTCTTGTGTTTAATTATCGGCTGACAATTGAATGACAGGTCTCCTTCGTCGCGGGCACGATTTGAATTATCTGTGGCTGATGGGTTTCGGTTTTGTCATGCCACTTGTGGCTTGGAATTGGATGCCCACTTTACTCTGATGCAAGTGAGATGTCTGATTCAACGGTTTGCTTCTTCAATAGAACAGCCTAATTAATATTGGAGGGAGGGACCAGCCAATCTAAACAAATAAGTAAAAGTTGGCCGGCCCGTTTAAAAGTTGGCCTAATTAATATTGAAGGGAGGGACCAGCCAATCTAACAGAACAACCTAATTAATATGCCGTAGAGCACTTCTACTATGCTATATAGTATTGGTGTTTTAATGTACAACTTAAAGTTGTACCATAACATTAAATGTATAAGTTTAGGTTGTACCATAAAACAATTTGTACCATTAGGTTATGGTACAACTTTACAACTTGAAGTTGTACCATCACATAAAGGTACAAGCAATGTAGTCAAAATCCCGATTTTAATCTTAAAATCTTACGATTTTACGATCTTACCTATGGGTTCCGATCATGATTTTATTGTAAAATCTTTGAACCTTAAAATCCCATAAAATCCCGATTTAAAACTCTAAAATCTTTAAAATCTAAGATTTCTACGATTTTGTACGATTTCAAGGTTTACATCAATTGGAGCAAAATGAGGCTGGTCAAGTCTGGTTCTGTCCATAAACCAAGTCAAGTTTGATTCTCACGACCCAACATAATGAACAACGCCACCCTAACCCAATAGACAACACTCAATTTATTTTGATTCTCTTCTTCGTATCTTCCTCTTTCGCACGTCGACCCCCAACTCCTTCCTTCAACGATATCTTCCACTCTCCCAATTAGCTTGTAGGTTTTTCACACCACCCTCACAAAAATCCAAATCTCCATTCTATTGCAATCTTTCGTTCATCTCTCAATCCTTCAGCAGCACTATCCCCGACCTTTTATCAATTAAGAAGGAAATGCACCAATCAATGAGTTATCTTTGTGATCAAGGAAATATGGTTAATGGTGAAAGTATTTCAAGTGATCTTAAGAGTAATTATATTAGTCCTTAAGCAAATAGACAAGGATGAGAGTTAGAGTGAGAGTGAGGGTGAGGATGATAATGATGATGTGTAGTGATATTAATGTTGATCCCTAACGATCTTATTTAATTTTCTACTCTTAATTATTAATTAAGTGATTTCATTGGGAGTTTCAGGTTGCTTATTTGTGTGTTTATATTATGTACAAGAATAGATATATGGATTTAGTTGTATTTATTTAGCAAACAAACTTATCTTGGAAAGTAATTATGTTATATGTGGTTGATTGTTATTCAAGATATGCATTTTAATTACTATCTGGTGTTTTAAGTGATTATTTAATACGAACCTTAAAATCTTACGATTTTACGATTTTAATCTACGATTCCGATTCCACCTTAGTTTTCGATTTTACTTAAAATCCCGATTTTGACTGCATTGGGTACAAGTTCAAGTTGTACCATAAAAGAACTTGTACAAAAAGTATAGGTACAATCTGAAGTTGTACCATAACTTAAATGTACAATTTTAAGTTGTACCATAAAGGTAAAACCCTATAGCACCAATACTATATAGCATTGTAAAATTTCTCTATGCGCGTATAAGAGAATACTAGTTTGGACCGGGCCGGTTGGCCGGAGTAGCTATGAGTGAATGGTGAGTCTAATCACTTCTTCTACGACATCTAATTACCATTTAATAATTTCTTTTGTGAACTCTAGCATCAATCCATTCCCTACTGATCAATAGTCTCGTTTAGTTAGCTTGAACACAAAGTTCTCGAACTCGTACACATGTTGCTCATGTAGTTGGTGATCAAATTGGTTGATTAATGTGAAATTTTACGTCAACAGAAATTGAGTCAAATTTATAAATTATTCATGAACATGTATCTATCCAATTGAATAATTGACGAAGTAATCACTTAGGAAAAAATTTCATAAATTAAAATTGGCATGTTTTAATTTTTAACACCGTTCGTACTTTTACAATTTGTTGCCATTTGGAAAACTGGCAAAGTAACTCCAAGTAAGTAGGAAAAGTTTCCATTTGTAAAGCACATAATCACTTGCAAGTTTGAAAATTCAAATGCACTAAGTCTATATAATCATAACTGGGAAAGAGTGATGAACAGGAAAATAAATACACAATCACATATCCAATCTATGATCCAGGCTTATAATATCAACATTGCAAAGGAGTTCAATGGTTTTCTGCTAACAGACACCATTTCACTCATAGCTACTCTCTGCTTAAATTGTTCGATTGAGCAACCAACCCGGCGAGCATCCTTCCAGCGCCGAGATTCGTCGACAGCCAGCTTGAGAATCCTTTAATCGCGATATCGAAAATCTCGAGCCGTGAATGTAAACCCATCTCCAACAGCAATTCCCCGGTGAAGTTGTTGGTGAATATCTTGATACTCTCCGGAACGTTGAATCGAGAACAAAAAACTTTAATTAAAAATTTGTATCATAACACTTTTTAATATAGTAAATTTTCTAAGCTCTACTATGGAATTCACGAAAGAAACTCGACTATGGATTCATGCTGAAATTCTTTTGTTCGCACCAGGTTATAGAGAAAGGTTAGATGGAGTTAGTAGTTTCAATTTTCAAGTCTAGTGACTACATATCAGGGCATACATTTGAATAGATGATAGTACACACTTGTAAACCTTGAGAGGGGCTTGGTTTAAGCTAACACCCTAGAGGTTCACTGCAATTTTGATGATTACCCATAAAAATGTTTTCTAGTTATGCTACTTGTTATTCAGTTTTTTGTATTTGAAGTTCATTGACCAAATTACTTATGATTCAAAGAAATGGAAAATTAATTATAGAAATTGAAACTTCCCCGATATTTCATACTTATACATATTTGAATAAATAAATATGCCAATACAAACTAAATAAATTCATTCAATACATAATTGTGACAACCTACATTGGGTGCAACAAAACCAGAAAGGAAAATTCCAAAAACTACCATAAGATCATTAACCACAAAGTCCATCTCCATGGCGCAACAAACTTGCACTCTAAACGCTTACACCCCATTGAAATTGTTCCAAGTCAAGACCAGAACGATGCAATTAACACGTAAGTTGAGTTATATATCATTATACCTCCAGGCTCCAAATCCATTGTTCCAAGTACCCTGGTTGCTACATCAAAGTAGACCCGCTACAAACTTCAAAAGCAAAGCAGATGGATAAACCACAAATCTCTAGCTACAAACAAAACTAAAGTATATAATATATACTGGTAACGACCATCATGAGCAGAAAGAGTTCTCTATACTTCCACCGACCATTACAACCTATACTTCTGGCATAACCATAAAAAAAAGTGGAATGACCACCATGAATCAAAATGGGTTTGCAAAATGGGTTTGCTTCAAATCTGAATGGCCACTACCCAACCAGGTCGACGTTGGCTTATGGTTCCCTGTAAAGTGTAAAACCAGCAATAAGAGCTGACAAATAGTAAATAAACAAAGCATGTATAAGGGTAAAGGTAGTGGAACAAAACCGTATATATATATATATATATATATATATATAGAGAGAGAGAGAGAGAGAGAGAGAGAGAGAGAGAGTTAATTCACTGGCTAGGTAATTCTTTCTCAAACCCAACTGGTGAAATTGAAATTGCATTAAAACCCAGGTATCAAGACTAAGCATATAGATCAAAGTGAAGGATTGGAATTAGTAATCGAGCTATTCATAATCGTATTCACAATCAAGTATAAGATTCCACCATTTAAGGCAAAACCAGTGGAGCAAAACATGCTAAAACAAAATAAAATATAAAGCACTCATCCAACACTCAAATGAGTGCTATGAAGACTAACCTGTAATGCTCAAAACTTAAACTCTAGAACTGGCATTCTTGTGAAACTCCAGCTGTAAGAAAACACAAATTAGTTTAGGAAGGAGAAGATGACTTCACATTTATATCAGCATGAAAGAAGCTATTATATTTAGCGAATGAGACAGCTTTGATGCTCAATATAATGCTTAAGCTGAAAACACCACAACAACCAAGAAAGAAGAATAAAAAGTGCAAACCATTGCTCCTCCCAAGAGCTGTGGTTGGTATATGGAAATCCTAGTAAACGAATGCCTCAATGTTTCCTATCTTACTACTGATAGCAAGAATGGAAGTAGGGAACTGTCAGCAGAATGAACATTAAACATCTCCGTAGTTTGTCCATGTTTATTATATAGAGTCAATATAACTACCTAGAAGAAAAAGAGGTAAACCTAGAAAAAGGAAAATAACTACCTAATGTTCTTTGTTCTTCAGCCAGTTCATCTTTTCTTCAGCCTGCCTGTATGAATCTTATTCACGCTCTTGTTATCCTTGAAAAACTATAATTTGTTCAGAAAACACACACTTGTTTAGATCTGATGCCTTTGATATACATGGAATCCCAAGCAAGCCCGCAAAATATATCAAAAAGCAAAAGAGATACCTGGCAAAGGAAAATAACCACCTAATGTTCTTCATTGCCCTTGCATTGGAGATGAGTCGGCATCTTTAATCAGCTGTAATAAGGTAAAGCATAGGGGATGAAGAATGTGGTCTGAACCCAAAACTAATTAAAAGCAAACAAATAGGAACCTGCGAAACGCAAACAACAAACCTGAATTGCTTCCCTCGAAATTACAGCAAATAATCGGTCCATATTACTTTCTTTTCTTCAGCAGAAAACAAACTAACGTCCGGAGAATTGAGAAATGCAGTAATTGATGAATGGAGTTGTTGGACGGTGGAAGGTGACATAGATAATTCAGAGACAGTGACGGGGAGACAGTAAGTTGGAAATAAGGGAAAACGAAAAATCCAGCGAGTAGAGACCTCTCATGCG